TCAGTGTTTTGCCTGAGTGTATATATGTGTATCACATGTGTGCCTGTGCCTTGGAGGTTAGAAGAGGACATCAGATTCCCTACAACTAGAGTTATGTTCCCATATAGGTGCTGGGAACCAAGCTGGGTACCCTACAAAAGCAGCAAGTGCGTCTAACTGCTGAGTTACCTCTCCAGCCTCATTTGTTGTTGTTGTTGTTATTTGTTGGCCTTCCTGATTGGGTGGGAAGGTGTCCAGCTTTCTGGTACTCAGATGGAAGGGTGTCCAGGAAACCCATAGCTCTGAGGCGGAAAATCCGAGTCACGAGCTGTGAAGACTGGGAAGGTATCTCAGCTCTGAGGTGGGACAGAGTTCCAAGGGTATCCTGAGACATGGGAGCCCACGGACCTCACAGCTCTGAGAGGAGGCCTCCTCAACAGAGACATTGCAGCTCCCAAGGAGGGTACCCCAACGCAGAGGAGCTGAGGAGCCTAGGAGCCTGAGCTCCTCTTCAGTTAAGTTACAGCAGGCAGTAAATCTCTTAAAAGAGATTTATTGAAGGGGTGAATCAAGGAGTGGCTGCCTCTGCTTTTGGGAGAAGGCAGCAGGGAACTGGGGCAAACCCAGCCTTTATATATGGGAATTCTCAGGGCTGGGGTAGGGGTGCTTTCTGGGCAGGGTCTTCCAGAGTGTGGATTGGTAGGATTTTAAGTCCTGAGCTGTGGGAAGCTCAGAGATTGGTCAGTTTTCCTGTTCAGGCATTGGTGGGTTTTTGTCTAGTCTTCACCTCAAATTTACATAGCCTGGGATGAATCTTACTGAGAGCTTGGAGATGACAGTTACAGAGGTGGAGGGGGGGGCGGGCTGCTGGAGCTTCCTCAGGCAGAGGTCTGGCCACTTTTCTGCTCTGAGGGCTTATAAAATATATAAAGTATCCAAAATTTACACTCTGAAGTCAGTAGACTGAGGCAGGAAAGGCTGTCGCTATCATGGACAGCCCCCATGGTGGTGGCAGTAGGCATTCTGAGGCAGGAAAAGTGTCCGGTGCCTTAGGCTGAGTCAGGAAGAGTCACCATGGACAGCTCCCGCTGAGGCATTGCTGAGGAGTTGCCACCATTTTGTCTCCTGCCTCCACAGCCCAGGGCGGGAAGGAGGGGCTGCTGCCCTGAGGCTGGCAGGGGGAACTAGCAGGGAAGCACTTGCTACTGCATATTAAATTGGTCTCTAAACATAGCTCTTGGAGGGTGCAGTGGGCCGTTGGGATTCCAGGCTGCCACAGTGGGGGAGGGGTGACAGTGGGTCACTGCAGCTTGTGGGGCATCAGAATGACTTTGGGGTGGCCTGCTACCTCAACTTGGGGTGGGTTGGGATAACTGAGGCTTGGAATTGCCTCAGCCTGGGGCATCAGCTACAGTGGGTGTAGATTGCCTCAGTTCCAGCCTTACATCATTTTGCTTTAAGTTTCAGTTTTGTTTTTAAAGAGGGTCTCTCTACAGAGTCCTGGCTGTCCTGGAACTTGCTGTGTAGACTGTGTTTCTGAGTGCTGGGATAAAGATGTATATACCACTATGCCTGGCCCTAGGTTTTAATTTTGAAGTTATACTTGAAGATTTTAATTTCTGAATTTCATAAATTTGCTTTGTATTTTGCTGTATCATTGAAAACATGTTCAGTTGGTAGCTTGAACAATATATTGGTTATAAGCAGATTATGGACTCTTTGAGATTAGGGGATCGAGCTGAGTTCCAGCCACATTCAATAATATATTTGTTACCACACCTGGCTCGCATAATATCTAATTATTTGTGTGTTTAAAAAAATTTTTATGGGCCTGTAGAGCTGGCTTGAGGTTAAGAGCACTGGCTGCTCTTCCAAAGGTCCTGAGGTCAATTCCCAGCACCCACATGGTGGTTTAAAACCATCTATAATGAGATCTGGTGCCCTCTTCTGGCGTGCAGGCACACATGCAGGCAGAACATTGCATACATAATAAATAAATAAATAAATAAATAAATAAATAAATAAATAAATAAATAAATAACTAAATAAATAGCTCTTTGAAAAGTATTTTTTATGAACCTAAGCCCTCATACATGCTAGGCTCAACCACTGTGTTATACCCGCAGCCTCATAAATTTCAGTTAGAGACTTTGGTGTGTGTGTGTGTTTTATTTTTCTAAAGGACTGATTAAATTTTGGTGTAACCACATTTTTATTTTGTTTAACTATGTAGAGAAGACGGGCCTCAAACTCAGAGAGCTCCACCTGCCCCTGCCTCTTGAGTGCTGGGATTACAGGTGTGTTATCACACCTAGTAGTGTGTGTGCTGTTACCTGCAGAGGTGAGAATAGGGTATCAGATCTCTAGAGCTAGAGTTACAGGAGGTTTTGAGCTGCCTGGTGTGTGTACTGGAAATCTATCTAGGGTCCTCTGTAAGAACAGCAGATGCTCTTAACTGTTGAGCCATCTCTCCAGCTCCCAATGCTCAGTTCTCAGAATTGTTTTTTTTTAAGTTGATAATTGTTCTCTGCTCAGACAATTTTGTTATCTTAAGCATATGTATTTCTGTTGTTAATACAAAACGTTTGATTTGGCAGTTCTACTATGGCTTAAATGATAATGCTTTAAATAGCCGAGCATAGTGGCACACACCTTTAATCCCAACACAGAGGGAGGCAGAGGCAATTCACCTTGAGTTTGAGCCCAACCTGGTCTACAGAGTGAGTCCAGTACAGCCAAGGAAGGCTACACAGAGAAACCCTGTGTAGAAAGACAAAACAAAACAAAATGCTTTAAAATATATGTGCAGTTTGTATTTGTTTAGTTATTAGATAATAAAAGTTGTTTAATTTCATTCCTACCCTGGGCAAATATTTACTCAGTTACTGCTGTGAACTAGACTCTCACCCAGGCCTGAGATCAGGGCAGTGTACTAAACAGATAAGTCCTGGTCCTGACAGCACACTGTTAGGAGGTAGAAGCTGCCCAATAAGGATGGTTAGCAAGCAAGTAGGTGTCTGTAGTAAATGCTAGGTAGGGCCTGGAGGGTCCAAGATGTAGCAACCAAAGACCATAGGACTTTGGATTTCATTCTAAGTGTAAGATAAAGCCTTGAGATGGTTTCTAGTCAAGGAATAAAATGATGTGACCATAATGTAAACTCTGTATTATGGGGAGAACAGACTTTGGGAATTCAAAGTAGGGAGCAAGGAAATCAACTAGCCATAGACCTTCAAGTGAGGTGATGTAGACTTCCAGTGGAAATAGGGTGTCCTTGTGCGTGTGTGTGCTCCAGCAGACCTGTAACTTCAGGTCTTGGGAGACTAAGATAGGATCAGGAAGTTCAGGTCATTCTCAGCTCCATGGTGAATTTGAGACTGTCACAGAAAACCAGCAAAAGAGCTGAGGCTGTAGCTCTGAGGATAGAGTACTTTCTAGTCTGCACAGCCATGGGTTCAGTCCCTAGCACCACATAAATTGGGCATGATAGCCCGTCCTTGTAATTCGAGCACTTGGGAAGTAGAGGCAGCATGAACAGGAGTTCAAGATCATTCTTAGGTACATAAAGGATTCAAAGTGAGCCCAGACTCTGTGAAACAGTATCTCCAAAAAATAAAGCAGTGGACAGATGGTTCAGTGGTTAGAGTGCTTGTTTAATCATCAGAAGATGAATTCAGATCCCGGCATCTGCTTAACAAGCCTTGTATCTAGTGCATGCCAGTAACCCCAGCTCTGGGTGTATCAGACAGGAGGATTGCTGGAGCTTGCTGGCTTTAAGCCCAGACAAGAAAAGATGAGCTTCAGGTTCTGGGAGACACCCTGCCTTAAAGAAATAGGCAGAGTGGTCCCGTATGTGTATGTACACATACAGGCTCACACACATATGGGCGCACACACACATATATTTAAAAAAAGTTGTGGTCGTGTGAGATGGCTCTGGTGGTAAATGCACCTGCTACCAATCCTGAGGACCTGAGTTCAATCCCTGAGACCCATATGCTGACAGGAGAGAACCAGACTCCTGTAGCTTGTCCTCTGACTTCTGCACATGTGCTGTGAAATGGCAAAAGTAAAATATATTTTTTAAAATCTTTGTTTCTTCCTGGACAGTGGTGGCCCATGTCTTTAATCCCAGCACTTGGGAGGCAGAGGCAGGTGAATCTCTGTGAGTTCAAGATCAGCCAGGGATACATAGAAGCCCTGTCTTGAAAACCAAAACCACCAAACAAACAACCAAACAAAAAATTGTTTCTTAGATTACAGACTTAGTGTAGGTTCGGTATAGAGAAATCGGTGAATATGAATTATGTTTTTAGAGCGTCTAATAAGGCCCCTAATTTGTAGCCTTTTGTAAACACCTCGGGTACAGTGGCTCTCGGTTAGCCTAGAAGTCATTCTTTACATCACAATCAAAATCTGATGGCTTTCTGAGATGGTCTCATGTAGCCCAGGCTGGCCTCAAACTCATTAGATCTCCAAAGATGGCTATCTTACCCTCCTGTCTCAGCCTCTCAAATCCTGAGGTTATTTTTAAATTGAGTCAGTAGTTATACCAAATATAATAAAAATATTTTTGTTGTTGTTTGTTTTTTTGAGACAGGGTTTCTTTGTGTAGCCTTGGCTGTCCTGGACTTGCTTTGTACTCACAGCCATCCTTCTTCCTGCCTCTGCCTCCTGGGATCACAGGCATGCACCACCAAGCCTGGCTTATAATCAAAATTTTACTCAGACATGTTCTTTTTAATTTATTATTATTTTATGTGCATTTATTTTGTCTGCATGTATGTCTGTGTGAGATTGTCAGGTCCCTGGAACTAGAGTTACAGACAGTTAGTTGTGAGCTGCCATGTGGGTGCTGGGAATTTTAGACATGGCTCCTCTGGGAGAGCAACCAGTGCTTTGAATCGCTGAGCCATCTCCCCAGCCCCCATAATCAAAGTTTAATGTATTATACTCATTTTTTTTTATTTTAGAAAATAATTTATGCGATATAAACTTGAGTTTTGTCTTTTTATTCTTAGTGATCAACCTTTGTACCTTTTCCGAACTAAAAGATGGTGAAGCTAGATATCCACACTTTGGCCCACCACCTCAAACAGGAGCGCTTGTATGTGAGCTCTGAGAAACAGCTCATTCAGAGGCTAAATGCAGATGTACTGAAGACAGCTGAAAAGCTGTATCGAACAGCGTGGATTGCAAAGCAACAGAGGATTAATTTGGATCGGCTTATTATAACCAGGTAAAGACAATTTTCAGATCATGCATTATGTGAACATTTAATTGTATATTACTAAATAACTAAATGAATCTCTTAAGTGCATGGTTTTGAATCAATGTTAGGTGAGTCTTTGCTTATAAAATGTATGGAGCTTTGTTTATTAATTAGCTTAAACAGTAATGTAGAAAATTATAATTTAAGATTTAATGTTTTAAGTCTTTGCATATATAATGTTTTAGTATTATGGAGATTAAATTTTGTGACTTTATATATATTTCTGTGCTTTGAAATTGCATATCTTTTGGTTTTGGGTTTTTCAAGACAGGGTTTCTCTTTGTAGCCCTGGCTGCCCGGGAACTCACTCTCTAGACAGGGTTGGCCGGGAACTCACGGAGATCTGCCTGCTCTGCCTCTGCTTCTTGAGTGATGGAATTAAAGGTGTGTGCCATCACTGCCCAGTGGAATTATATGTGTATTTAAAGGAAAAGATATATTTTTTTAAATTTTATTTTTAAATTTTATTTTCATGTGTATGAGTGTTTTTCCCGCATGTATATCTGTGCTGCACTTTTGTGTCTGGTGCTTGTTACATTGTTCCAAGAAGCAGTTTTTAACTGTAACAATATTAGTATAATGTTGATAAAAGTAGTCAGATTAAGACAATATATACTGTATGACTGGAATTATAAACATCTGAAGAGGCAGGACTAACATTTGATGATGTCATTCAGAATCACAGCTCTTTGTTGGGCATGCCAGATATTGACTAGAAGGCCATACAGTCCATGTTGTAAATCACACCCAGGGCTTCGTGCATACCAGTAAGTGCTCTTCCAATCGAGTTACTTCTCCAGCTCCTGTTTTGATTATTTTAGTACTGAATATTTGTGAATGTTCCTGTGTCGGTAAATACGTTTTTACACTGTAGCAACATTCAAAATTTAACATAGAAGATGCTCTGGATATTACATATGAAAAAATTGGTTTTCTTTTTACTTTTAGGTGTAGCTGGCTTGTTCCCATGTTCTTCTCAAAGAGTTTAGCAATTAAAGAGGATCTCACTGTTGACACAATAATGAACTCAGATCTATTCATTTCAATATAGCGCCTGTGTTGCATTGTTGTTGTTATTAATATTACTTTGCCTGTGTGGCAATATTTTTCAGTGCTGAAGCTTCTCCTGCTGAGTGTTGCCAGCATGCCAAGATTTTGGAAGATACACAGTTTGTTGATGGATATAAGCAACTGGGATTTCAGGAAACCGCTTATGGTGAATTCTTGAGTAGATTAAGAGAAAATCCTCGTCTTATTGCTTCCTCTTTGGTTGCTGGAGAAAAACTCAACCAGGAGAACACACAGAGTGTTATCTACACAGTTTTTACCTCCTTGTACGGCAACTGTATTATGCAGGAAGATGAAAGCTACCTCCTTCAGGTCTTACGGTACCTGATTGAATTTGAACTTAAAGAAAGTGACAACCCCAGGCGCCTTTTGAGGAGAGGAACTTGTGCCTTCAGCATCTTATTTAAACTTTTTTCTGAAGGACTGTTTTCTGCCAAACTTTTCCTTACAGCTACTTTACATGAGCCAATCATGCAGCTCCTTGTAGAAGATGAAGATCATCTGGAGACAGATCCCAACAAGCTCATTGAGAGATTCTCCCCAGCTCAGCAGGAAAAACTCTTTGGAGAGAAAGGCTCAGATAGATTCAGGCAAAAGGTTCAAGAAATGGTGGACTCCAATGAGGCCAAACTGGTGGCTTTGGTGAACAAATTTATCGGCTATCTCAAGCAGAACACGTACTGCTTCCCACATAGTCTGAGGTGGATTGTGTCACAGATGTACAAAACTCTGTCTTGTGTAGACAGACTGGAGGTTGGGGAGGTCAGAGCAATGTGTACCGATCTTCTGTTGGCTTGCTTCATTTGTCCCGCAGTTGTCAATCCAGAGCAGTATGGAATAATATCTGATGCTCCCATCAATGAGGTGGCAAGGTTTAACCTGATGCAGGTATGCTTTGCTGTTATTATAAATTGTTACTATTAGTATTACTGTTATTATTTAAGTTTTATTTATGTATGTGAGTGTTGTATTTATTTGAGTGCCTGCCTGACGGAAGAGGATATCAGATTCTATTATAGATGGTTGTGAGCAGCCATATGGTTGCTGAGAATTGAACTCAGGCCCTCTGGAAGAGCAGCCAGTGCTCTTAACCACTGAATCATCTTCCCAGCCTGCTTTTGCTACTATTAATCTAACATTTAGTAGCATTTGCTACTATTAATCTAGTATTAGAACAGATAATCTTTATGTTTGGAGTAGGAACAAAATGATGACAATGTTCTTTTTTTTTTTTGAGAGGTGCTTATATTAAAGGCATGCTCCACCCTCA